GGTTGCACTGTCACACCCCAGCCCAGCAAGCAGGGGCTCCAGGCCGGAGCTCCAGCTCTGTCCTCTGCACTGTTACCTAACCCTCCCCACACATCGTGCTTGGAGTGCCGCCAGAGAAGTTAGACCAGGAGACCAGTGTACTTAGGGATCTCGAAAGGCCCAACACTGTCGACCTTGACCTCGTTTCGGGCCCCTCAGCCACACTCAGCATGAGCATGGAAGTCGTGCAAGGCGAGCAGCAGTGTCGCTTTAGATGATCGGACCCTGCTTGTGCCCCTAAGTGGCATTACCGCCCCTCCCATCGTCTCATTCGCCAGATTTGGCTCAAAATGGCTTGAGTGATTAAAAACATCAAGCCTGCTATGGAGACGGCAGATTCACCATCTCCGAGGATGCGCGGGGGACCCAGGCACTGGAGGAAGTCAGCTCAGCCACCCTCTGCCACTGCCGCCCAGAGCCACCAGGCCGCGTGTGCTCAGGTAACTGTGCTGCAGGGACCAGAGCCCCTGGACTTCTCTCTGGGGGTTTGTATGACAAACAGATGGCATCGTGGTCACTCCCCACACGCCCATGCTGTGTGGGCTGCAGCATGGTTACAGAGGAGGCGGACTTGTTGACAACTCCTGAACAGTTTCTCTTTTCCCTCCAGGACGGGAAGGTGATCGTGTGGGATTCCTTCACGACTAACAAGGTAAGGTGTCCCCGGCGCACTGGGGCGCCCCCCGAACCCCAGCCTCACTGAAAGGTGCTCTGGTCCAGCTCCCCAGCCCTGGCCCCGTTTCCTGCCTCTCGGGGAGCCTGTCTTTGGATGAAAACCCCACAGAGCCCATCTGTGTTAAGACAGCTCAGCAGCCCACGGTAGCGTTTATTCCTCCCTCGAGCTGACACCCCTTGCCCACAGAGGAGCCTGCAGAGCCCCACAGACTGAGCTCACACTGGCACAGGAAGGGGCGAGGCCTGACACCCTGGTCCCACGCACACAGGCAGCTGTATGTATTCTTCCTCTGAGTGACGATAAGAGGTACCCAGCTCCCCAGCTTCCTCTCCCCTCTGTCTTTGGCCAGACTCCATGGCACTGTGGACATGAGCAAACAGTGGGTGAAGCCCTGGCGGCAGTGGAGTCACGTGCTCTGTCCAGGACGCAGTGGAGTCTGAGCCCCTTGCAGCTCTGGCCTGAGCGTGCACAGCTGCAAAGTAGACCTAAATTCAGACTCGTTCCTAAAGAGAAAGACCGAAACCTCTGTAGGTGTGCTTGCATGCCTGCATCGCGTTGGCATTTACAATAACAAGCATTGTGTGTTGAGTATGGACTCCAACATTTACTTAGAAGAAAACCTTCCTTTTCACGATATTAAAAAGGAGACGTATTGTCACAAATTTGAGCGATGCCCATATTCTGCATTATTGAATGTGGTTAGTAAATGCCACGTAGGCAGCTGTTACTTGACCAGATTGAATGAGGCCCCAGAACCGCCTGTAGAGCAAGTCCCTAGTGTTTAGGCCCCTGGGGAACAATAAACAGTTTGCAGAGGGCAGTGTTCCTCTCCTGCATCCACAGAGGACTCCGCCTCTCCCAGCATGCCCAAGCAGTGTGTGCATGGGGTTGTGTTGTGTCTGTTTACGCCTGAGTGTGGCATAGAGCACACATTGCCTGGTTTCGGGCCTATATTTCTTCATAAAAACTCAGAGAATCTAGCGGAAAGGCCAGCACTGGTGTGTCCTGTACAAACTTAGTCCCATTCCCTCCGTTCACAGACGAGGATGAGGCTGAGTTAGTACCAATGCTGGCGGGCAGTAGGTGGTTCCCAGCCTCAGAGGCTGCAGGACTGTGCATGACACCAGAATTTTGACAGGCGGTTTCGGGCCTATATTTCTCCATAAAAACTCAGAGAATCTAGTGGAAAGGCCAGCACTGGTGTGTCCTGCACAAACTTAGTCCCATTCCCTCCCTTCACAGACGAGGATGAGGCTGAGTTAGTACCAATGGCCGGTGGCACATCTTGTTGCTGTTGGAACCACGTTGTTGAATCGTGGCTTTGTTTGCTCATCTGCACACAGGAGGCTGTGGGTGACTCGACCACCATCCCGGAGCCGGGCACCGTTAGGCCTCGCACTTCATTCTTCCACTGTACAGGTTCTCTCGCCCCTGAGCACAGCTCCAGATCAGCCCCCCACCCCCACTCATCCCTCCCAGGAATGGTTTAGGACTCAGCTGATCAATGATTCTCTCTCATCATTGATGTTTCTATCCTTCTCTCCTCTCCCTTCCTCTCTGAAATCAACAAAATATATATATATATATTTTAAAAATAGAATATATGACGTAATGTTTCATTGATTATAAGGGGCTGAGTCTCCCTATCAGTCATAGCTAATTGTTACCCCACTCCACTGCCCTCGGAAACTATAACATAATTCAGTAACATCACCAGTGACTTTTTAAAAATTAAATGTTGAGATGTGTGTGTGTGTGTGTGCGCGCGCGCGTGAAGCCACACTTGTTTATTCTATGAACGGTTCACACTGTGTTTCAGGAGCATGCAGTCACCATGCCCTGCACATGGGTGATGGCGTGTGCGTACGCCCCGTCGGGCTGTGCTATTGCGTGTGGGTAAGTAGGGCCCACAGCAGCTTTTCAGCTGTCCTGTGAGCCATAGAACACTGTTGTATGGGCAGAAATACACACACAAGAACTTGTCATTTTTATTGTTTGCTTGTTAAGCAATGTGTTAAATTGCTCCCTGAACTTTATATATATAAAAAAAAAGCACAAAAATCTCTTTCATAATTATTTTCATTACAGAGTGACAGTGGTATAAGTTTTAGACCTATGCCCCTCATTCAGATGCAAACATCTTGGAATGCATATTGGTAACGTGTGTCAGAAACCTGGAAAAATGTAGAACCTTTGATCTAGTGATTTTACATTTAAGAACTTACTTGAAAGCAATGACTCAAAATATAGAAAAGAAGATATGAATAATAACATTTATTGTAGAATTATGTAAAATAAAGTCAAAGACAAAAAAGAGAAACAGTATGTCCATCAAAGGCAATTATTAAATAATTGTGGTACCTGAATTGGATGGAATATTAACAGCCATTAAAAGGAAAATGGTTGATCACAGTAAGTGAAAAGAGCATCTAGGTTACCAGGAAGATTGTACCTTATTCTCTGTTCTCCTGAAGATCAGCTTAACAGGGTTCAGCAACGAGAACTGCAGCCCTGTGGTTCCCTGTCCCCGTGCTGAACAGTTGTGGGCCATTTAAAATATTTCCACAGTAGAATCTCAGCCCTGTTTAGAAAAGAGGCATTAGTACAAAAGCTGTGGTGAACTAGACCAGCGATTTTCATCTCATGACACACGTAAGCTAATTGCTAGAATTCTGCAGCACACCAAAAAAATAGATTTTTCACTGCTCTGACTAAAAAAAAGGTATAATTTTGATTCATTCACACTTGCTGCTCTGACTAAAAAAACATGTATAATTTTGATTCATTCACACCAGACAGCTATTGTTGAGTTGGCTGTTGTCATCTTTTAATTTGACAGTTTAAGGGAATGAGGTCAGTGCTCCTGACTAAATAGCCAGGTACTGCATGTTTTACACATTCTTGTGGCACACCTCTGAAAACCTCTGACCTAGACTGAAAACACAGTACTAGTTCTTTCTGAATGATGGGACTATGGGTGTTTTTCTCTTCTTTATAATTTTCTGTATTTTCAATTTTTAAAAGTAAGCACATATTATTTTTATAATCAGGAGGAAAGGGTTTTTTATTTAAAATATGAAAACCCTGGGCCTCCAAGCAAAATTTCTGGAGCCTTATTCCAGCCAGAGTCACACCAGCCATCATCCCCAGTGTCCCCCTCTTTGGGCAACTACTTTGGGGGCACCTTCCCACTCTCTTTCTCTGTTGTTTGAGACCCAGTGTGCCTTTGGAACCCATGTTCACATACAAGTATTTCATATTTTTGAATAACGCAAAAGTAGATTGTGTCTTCATTTTATAACTGGAAGACAATGCATAAAATTCATCCTTATCTACTTCCTGAAAGGATCTGAGGTGACCCCTATAAAAACCATGGGTATATATACATATATATATTCACAGGAATATATATATACCACATATGCAAGAACAGTTATTTTATATATACAACACAGATATTTTATATATACACACCACACAATTATAAGGTAGGTACAGAGGAGTTAACCAACTGTACAGTTAGAAGGCACAGTCCCCACAAGACTCCCCTCTCTTGAGATTCCAGCTGCAAATTGAAGGGTCCCCACCACGACCCTCCGGCTCAGTAATTGACTAGGATGACTCACAGAACTCAGGGGAGTGCTGTGCTCAGTCTCACGGTTTTATCACAGTGAAAGGATACAGTGAGAACCGGCCGAAGGAAGAGAAACAGGGCAGAGTCCAGGAGGGGTCTGAACACAAAACCTCCACTTGTGCCTCCCTGTGGAGTCACGGCCAGCGTTACCCCCTCCCAGCTACAGCTGTGACTATATGCCAACTGGGGGACTCGCCTGAGCCTTTGGTGACCAGAGATTTTATATTCACTCTCCAGTCTCCTGGTTTCTTCAGGGAGGGGGTGTCCCAAAGCCCCATCACAGATCACACCATTAGGCTGTGGGGTGGCCAGAGCACCAAGCCAACAGACACCCCCATTAGAGATCACCTCCCGTGGCCAGGGCACAGGCCACACCTCACATTCGGTACAGCCAGTTCTTCACTACCCAGTATAGAAATAAATACTCCACATTTTTAAACCCTGGGATAATATGTTTCTAACTGGGCATTAATTTTAGTAAATGCATAGAGTTCGTCGGGTTACATAATTGCTCAGTATTTGATGTTGAGATAGCAACTGTCTGGTTCTAAATTACAAAAAGAATATATGGGCTAGGTCACAACGAATATAACACCACAGTGAACAGTGTCTTCAGTGGCAGTTTAGAAATGATGCTGTGCCTCTTTCCTATTTTAACCCTCACTCCATGGAGCCCAGCGGGAGCTTCCCATAGGGCAGGGGAGCAGGCAGGGGAGAGAACACATTTCCAAGACCCACCCAGATGGCTTTCTGGTGACACCCTGAGAGTCCAGATGGAGGAATGGCTAGTGCCGCAGTCCCAGTATAGATGTATCATTATGTAAGCATGTAAGTGTGTGTGTTTTTTGAGAGCCATATTCCCCAAGAAGCCTTCATTCAGGTAGTGTACACTTGCTCTGAGTAACTGAACTGGGTGTCCTAGAGGAATTCAAAGTTGAATAAAATGTAGTGCCTGCCTCCAAGCAAGTAGGATATAAAACTAATGCTAATGACCACTTACTGGGCATCTATCAGGTGTCAATGACTATTCTGAATTCTGTACAGTCTTCACAACAGCCCCTTGTGATACGTGGGTGGGATATACTCATTTTATAGTTGAGGAAACTGAGGCTCTGAGAACCTAAAAAAAAGCAAAACCAAGATTGCAAAATGAGTTAGCTACTAAAGCAGAGGTTCAACACCAGATGCGTCACACTGCAAACTTCTCTGCCTCGCATGCGTTGCAGGCAATCCTGAGCAATGCACAGCCCAGCAGAGCTACAAAGCTGGCAGCGTCAGGGTGGCTCGCCTCGAGGGTCGGAGAGCCCTGGTCCGCAGCAGGCTGGTTCTGGCCACAGCCAAGTGCAAGTCATTCTCACCCACATGACGGTGTGACAAGTCCAGAACGTGTGACATTCTATACAAGTAGCCTAAGGTCTGTGGTTGTGAACACCAAAAAATAGAGGGCCTGTTCTAGATTAAATGATCTTAAAAAGATAGAGAAACCTAATGCACTGTGTGACCCTTGATTGGGCCCTTGCAAATTCAAGTATTTAGATGTAACATGTCATGTCTGCAATTTGCATTCAAATGGCTCAGAATTTGTTCCCACAAAATATTAAGTTAGGAGTTTAGGTGAAGGGATTGAGTGTTCATTGTACTATTTTTCTTTCAGTTTTACTGTGCATTTGAAAATCTCCAAAGTGAAAGTTGGGGGAAAGGTTACAATGTGTGATACTGCTCTCAAGGGAAAATTTTTTTTGAAAAGTCTGTGTGAATGAGAAAGTCTACACACTATTGCCTTCCATCAACATTTGACACTTCTTTCTTCCCATGCCAGGGGTTTGGATAATAAGTGTTCTGTGTATCCACTGACCTTTGACAAAAATGAAAGCATGGCTGCCAAAAAGAAGTCTGTGGCTATGCACACCAACTACCTGTCGGCCTGCAGCTTCACCAACTCTGACATGCAGGTAAGCGAGGATCCGGTGAAGGGCCAGCCTGCGGGAGGGCAGGGGAGGAGCCCCAGGGGAGAGCGGAGGCTTTTCCAGGGTTCCTTTTAGCAGGAGGGGTGCTCCAGAGGAAGGTCCTGTTCCTCATTGGTTATTATTGTTTTAAATAAAAGCAGAAATGAGGAAAGCCAGGGCTATTGACTGTTGGTAGAGGAGATAAACTACATGCCGTATTGAACATCCTTCTCTAACTGCCTTGTTGGGGTGGATCAGGGAGCCTGGGTGGGAAGTCCACCTCCCGGTCTGAGAGGTGGTTCCCAGGCACGGATGTGTGTGCACCTTCACTGAGCGGCCGGGCTTCAGAGTGTGCGCTTCACACGCTTCGCTGAATCTGCTTCACACTCCTGTTTGAACAGATGCAAAAGAAGAAGCGTTAGGTAGTAAATCTGTGCTCTACTCTGAAAAAGCACTACTCAACACGTAGACCACATTTTCTTAACAAGTTGTAAAAGTATACCGTAGTTTATTTCTCCACATCTATTCAGCAGGCCTTTCTAGGTGTCCACCACCCATGTTGCCAGGCGCGACCTGGCTCTGGGCCACAGGGACACTCCGTCTCTGCCCTCAGGGACCTTCATGGAAACCAGTCGGGACTGAACAGTGGGGAAGGCTGGGAGCTCAGAGCGGGAGGGGTGGTCACAGGCCACACGGAGTTGCCTAGACCAGCCATGGAGGGTGAGGGTGTTGCCATTGAGGTGTGAGGGGAGCCCAGTCGGAGGCAGGCAGCCCGAGAAGTGGGCAGGGACACAGCCCAGGGCGCCCTGAATGCCCTGTGGATGGAGGGCAGCCCTGCAGAGGCTGCGTCATATTTGGACTTGTTTTAAGCAGGAGAGTATGAGTCAGATAAAGCCTTCCATGGCCCACTCTGGCCTCAGCTGACTCAGTCAGGGAGAACAGGTGACTGGGTCATGGTTTAATTGCCAGGGGTGTTGGGGCTTGAAGTGATGACCCAGGAGCTGGTGATTGGCACCAGGAGCCTTGCAGACCTGTACAGTAGGGGGCGCTGTGGGCCCAGCTCGCTGCAGCAGCCACAACCTGATAGATGCCTTTGAGCCTGAGCAGTAGCAAAGCAAGAGAGGATCTCAGTGTAGAAGAAGGAAGCCACAGAGGGATGCAGGCACAGGGGTCGTCAGGCACCACAAGTGTCTCTGGTGGAGACCTGTCACCCTCACTCTGAGTTGGGGACCGAAGTGGGGCACCTGGAAGGCAGCCAGAGGGAGATAGATGGAATAGAGGGAAGTCCGCTGGCCACCCTGCCAGGGCACAGGGCATAGGGCACAGGGCTTGGCTCAGAGTCAGACAGTGGGGATCGAATCCTGGCTCCACTGCATTCGGGCTGGTCAGTCCTAAGCAAGGTGTGTTCCCTGTTTTGTTTTCTCACCTGCAAGTGAGGATGGCAATAAATTCCTCCCTGGTAAGGTTTTTTGAGGATTAAACTAGATGATTGGTATAAAATAATACATACAGTCCCTGGTAAATATTAGCTCTTACTGTTTTATTATTGACTAGAGGCCCAGTGCACAAAAATTTGTGCACTCGGGCGGTGGGGGGTGGTCCCTCAGCCCGGCCTGTGCCCTCTCGCAGTCTGGGACCCCTCGGGAGATAACGACCTGCTGGCTTAGGCCTGCTCCCGGGTGGCGCCTTCCCCTGTCACGAACAGAGCAGGGTGGATAGGGAGGTTGTGGC